GGCTGGACAGCACCTCAGGCAGCAGTCAGCACGGCTGTGTCAGCCAGCATTTGCTGAAGTCCAGGTGGATACGGGCTGAACTGAGAGTAGGTCCCGCCCCCCAGGACCTCTGCTTCAGGGAGTGAGCGTCAACTCCTGTTGAGGTGTTCAGGGCGGGGGACTCCAGCTCCTGTGTGTTGTGTCTGTGCACCTGGGACTCACTGAAGAGCTGAAGCCTGAGGGAACAGGAGCGGTGGAGTTTCATAGCCCAGGGGTCTGTGGGTGGCGCCTGGGCAGAGGGGCAGGGGAGAGCTGCAGCTGGCTGGGAAGAGTGGCGCCAGACCACCAAGACCCTGGGAAGCTATGCCAGGCCCTTGGGGTTTTGGTCTGTTGGCTCAATTGCCCTAAGGTGGGCTGTGTTCTTGGGGTGTGCAAGGTGAATCCCAAGTGGATGCTTGTGATCAGGATGGTCATCCCTCTGCTGTGTTGATGGAGCACTCGCCTGTGCCTGTGCAGTTCTAGTCATCCGTGATAGCAGTGAACAAGGAGACAAACTCCTGCCCCTGTGGGTTGATTGTAGTATAGTGGGGTAGACGATATGTCAAATAAGCAAAGAAAGCATGTTGTGTGTGAAATGGTGCCAGAAAAGGTGGGCATGGTGCGGTTCCAGGGGACTTGACCTGACTTTAGTTTTAGAAGGATCATTCTGGTAGCTGTGTTGAGAACAGACTGCTGGGAGATGGGTGGGCAGAAACAGACTGGCCAGGAGAGATGGTGATAAGAAAGGTTGGCCAGGAAGACAGCAGTGGTGTCTGGGGGAAGTGGCTGAGTGGGGGGGTCTGTTTTGAGGGTAGAGTCAAAGCATTTTCAGTAGATGTGGAGCGTAGGGAAAGTTCAGTCTGACTTGTGAGACTTGACGTCCGGGCATGCTGAAGAATGGGGTTCCTAGTGACTGGTGTGTGTGTGGGATGAACTAGGGCAAAGACAGGTTTGGGAGGCGTACTAAAAGCTCAATTTGGAGTATTTTCATTCAGTGTGCTCCTTGGATGGGTGATGTGCAGGCGGGGATGTAAATCAGTCAGCTGTATCACAGACATAGGTCTGGATTTCAGGGGGTTGGCCCAGCTGGAGGCTGTGAGCTGTCAACTGCCAGAGGGGCTGGACCTCCTCCTCCCATCCCACCCCCTCCATTAGATGCAGCTATGGAGGCCCAGGAACGTGCTCTCTCAGGGGTCCTGTGGAGGTCTGTAGTGACCTTGGGAAAGGCAGGAGTATAGCCCAACTGGAGAATGGGAGGAAGGAAGTGGAAGCCAGCAAGTCTGTATGCTGGAGTTTCACAGGAGGCTTAAGGAAAGAAACAATGTGATGTAAGAGGGGAGTGAAGGGTCAAGAGACCAGCCCCGGTTGGTGTGCCCACAGGGGTGGATTCACAGAGGGCAAGCCTGAGGATGAGGAGAGCTGGACTGGTTGTAGGCACGGGGATGAGCTCCAGAACCCAGCAGGGGAAAGGCTGTATGTGGCCAAGGTCACAGGCATACAGGCATACCCCCGCAACAGGGGAGCAGGCACGTGAGTGGGGACAGTTGGGAGCAGGCACATGAGTGGGGACAGAGTGAGCTGTGCAAGTGACATGTTGTGTTGATTTAGCACGCCTTAACCAGCCTGTCAGACTCCTTAGGAATGCTGTGACTAAGTGAAGAAAAGATACTAAGTACACAGTAGTAGATTAGTTTGTAGATGAAACACAGAAGAGGAGGGAGATGCTGTTGTTAGGAGTGTGTGAGGCAGAAAGCTGGGAGAGGACCCAGGAGGTCAGCACTGCTCTTCTGAGCAGGAGGTGGTGGTCTGAGCAGAGCGGGCGTGATCAGCCTTGCTCATTGGGATAGAGGAAAGCCCTCTCTGGGACATGAGCCCAGGCATGGCTATGGCACGCCTGCAAGGCAGAGGAGCAGGCTAGGACGATTTTGTTCTTTTGGGTGCAGAAGGCATAGCTGTTTCCAGATCTTCCTCCAGAGCCGGAACTTGGTGGACATGCATGTTCTGGATGATAATCCAGACCGTGCTAGTGGAGGGCAGATGCTACGGAGGTGGAAAAAGTCCTGGAGAACATGACCTTGAAGGTTTTTGGGCTGGTGGCAGATGCAGCAGGAAGAGGATGCAGCCTGTGCTGGGCAGGGAGCGGGCACCTTGGCTGAGGCTGCGTGGGCAAGACCGGGGAGGATGGGGAATGTGGTGGTGAGCCCTGAAGAGAATCCAGAACTAGATGAGGAGAGGTCCGACCTGGATTGGTGTGTGTGGATTGGGGCAGAGAGCACCCAGGTCCTGTGACCAGCCTCGCTGCATTCTGCCTTGTCTCTACAGGCAGCAGGACCTGTACCGGATCCTGAAGGCTTACACCATCTACCGGCCTGACGAGGGCTACTGCCAGGCCCAGGCCCCTGTGGCTGCCGTGCTGCTCATGCACATGCCTGCCGAGGTTAGCAGCTGGGGAGGGCCAGGGGGCCTTGGCCGGTGCTGGGCCGGGTCGGGGAACTCACCTCCCCATACCTTGTTGTCGCCCTTCTCAGCAAGCGTTTTGGTGCCTGGTGCAGATCTGTGACAAGTACCTCCCCGGTTACTACAGCGCAGGACTGGTGAGTGCTGGCAGGCTGGTGGCTCTAACTGTGCCTTCCCCCCCAGGGCCTCACCTTGCCCAACCCCAGCCTTTTTGTCCCTCTCCTCTGGGCCTCCCCACACAAGAGAAGCTGGCTCTTCTGATGGCTCACTCCACCACAGGAGGCCATTCAGCTGGATGGAGAGATCTTCTTCGCACTCCTGCGCCGGGCGTCCCCGTTGGCGCACCGGCACCTGCGCAGGCAGCGCATTGACCCTGTGCTCTACATGACCGAGTGGTTCATGTGCATCTTTGCCCGCACCCTGCCTTGGGCGTCTGTCCTGCGTGTCTGGGACATGTTCTTCTGTGAAGGTATCCCGGGGGCCTGCTGGGCTGTAAGGGGGTCGGGCTCCCCAGGGGAGATGCCGGGGGTTTGTCACTGTACCCGTGGGACCTTGTTGGTCTGAGACTTCAGTGTAGGCATCCTGGGGGCTGGGACACGAAGGCCTGACCCTGCTTCCGTCCCTGACCTTGAGCCTGCTCTCCCCAGAGTCAAGCCCACAGCTGCTGTCTCCCTTCTTCAGGCCTGAGGCAGCAGGTGGGGTGAGGGGCATTGCCCCCTGAGATCCTGGACCTCAGCCCTTGCCTTCTTTCTTTCTGACCCCATAGGCGTTAAGATCATCTTCCGAGTGGCCCTGGTTCTGCTGCGACACACACTGGGCTCTGTGGAGAAGCTGCGCTCTTGCCAAGGCATGTACGAAACCATGGAGCAGCTGCGCAACCTGCCACAGCAGTGCATGCAGGAGGACTTCCTGGTGCATGAGGTAGGCCTGGCCTCTCCCTGTCCACCTCCAGACCTGCTCCTGCTTACGCCCATCCTTATCTCCACCCTCACACTCACCCCCTCTCCATCTAGGTGACCAACCTCCCAGTGACAGAAGCCCTGATTGAGCGGGAGAATGCAGCCCAACTCAAGAAGTGGCTGGAGACCCGGGGTGAGCTGCAGTATCGGCCCTCTCGGCGCCTCCACGGTTCCCGGGCCATCTACGAGGAGCGCAGGAGGCAGCAGCCCCCCCTGGGCCCTTCCTCCAGCCTCCTCAGCCTCAAAAGCAGGGGCTCCCGGGCCAGTGCAGGGGCCCCCTCACCACCACCCCCCATCCGCAGGGCCAGTGCTGGGCCGGTCCCGGGGCCTGTGGTCACTGCCGAGGGACTGCACCCATCCCTCCCCTCCCCGACTGGCAATAGCACCCCCTTGGGCCCCAGCAAGGAAACCCGGAAGCAGGAGAAGGAGCGGCAGAAGCAAGAGAAGGAACGGGAAAAAGAGCGGCAGAAGCAGGAGAAGGAACGGGAGAAGCAGGAGAAGGAGCGGCAGAAATGGGAGAAGGAGCAGGAGAAGGAGCAGCAGAAGCGGGAGAAGGAGCGGCAGAAGCAGGAGAAGAAGAGCCAGGGCCGCAAGCTTTCGCTGCGCCGCAAGGCGGACGGGCCCCCGGCCTCCCAAGACGGTGGCGACAGGGCCTCCGCGGGCGAGGCCCGGCAGGACGCCTACTTCTGACTTCCATCCTGGCACTGGACTGTGTGGCCCACCTTTTCCTGTCAGGAGCAGGCTTGGCCATGGAGGCTGCCCTGGCTCCCCAAGCAGGCTGACCCTCTTGGTGACTCCAATCTCCTTGCCAGCTGCAACCCTACCAGGACTGCCACAGTGCGTGGGGCAGCGATGACCGAGGCTGGAGCCTCTTGTCTCGCCGGGCTCTCCATCACTCCAGGCCATTTCCCAGGGTCCCCTCCCAGGGGCTGCCACTTGGCGGCAGGAGGCAGCAGGCTGTGGATTCATGCACTCCTGTGGCTCTCCTCACCCACGATGGGGAGCTGGCTTCCTTTTCTCTTCTTGGGCCCTGCCTGTCACCTGTGTGCTGGCCAGGGGCCCCGGGCTATATCCTGGACATCTCCGAATTGTAATTATGTATAGAGGACTGGGTTGGCCCCAGGCGTGAGTTGGGGGGTACTGGCTCTGTCTTCTTTCAACTCTCCTTCCACATGTTTCTCACTCTGGTTTATTTAAGGGGATGTGCATTGGACTAGGACATGTCCCCCACTTGCCCTCACTCTGTATTCTCAGGCCCCAGCTTCATCTCACCAGGACACCCGCCTTCCGTCTGGATCCTTCCAGCCTCCAGCCCCCAAGGAAGGGGTCTTCCCTTGGCCTTCAGGGGGTGGAACCTGATGTTTACATTTTCTGTCTCTGCCCCCACCCCTTGCAGCGCTTTGAGGAACCGGAAAAGAACCTGCTGTCCCTGGGCCTGTCTCCTGCCTTGTTATTTGATGGAGGGACTGGGAAAGAGGAATAGGGAAGAGGTGGTAGGAGGCCAGGGCCTGGTCTTTCTGGTGAGGCCGCTGGGCAATGTCAGGGTCCTTGTCCTTTGACCGCCTCTCAGTCACTCAGCAAACATGGGCTGGGCTCCTGCTGCTGTTCCGCCTCTGCCTGGGACCTGCTGTCTTCGTCCCTGGCTTTCTGGGGTCCTTTGTGTGTCCCCAGCAGCAGCCGGATTGGTGCCCCGAAGCGCTCATGCAGCTCCAGGAAGCTGGAAGTGGGGCTGGTGATGGCTGCAAACCCGCAGTCCTTGTCGGGCCAGCTGGGTTCTTGGCCAGCTGCCTGGCACAGTGCCCGGTACTGGGCTTCCACCAGCGGGAGCAACCTGGCCAGCCGCCTCCAGCTCACCCCAGCCAGGGCCTGCAGCCAGGCCCCCAGTTCCTCCTGGGTCTCTGCAGCCAGCCTGTAGGCCCGCCCGCCTGCGCCCTCCGCGGCCCCCGGGGTCAGGATGCTGAAGGCATAGGGCTCTGCGGCCTTGCTGCGGGGCTGCACCTGGCAGTTCTCCAGGAGGATAAGGCCCAGGGGTGCGGGGTCTTGCCGGCGCTCCAGGTAGAAGAGGAGGTTCCCCCGCAGGACGAACCAGCGGCGCTGGTAGCTGGAATTCCGGGACCCCTTCTTGAGCAGGAGGCCCTCCTGGTCTGGGGCCTGGGTGCTGTACCCCTGGAAGAAGCTCAGCACGGACCTGCGGTGCAGTTTCATGGCGCTGCAGGACGGGAGGGGACCCTGCACGAGATGGGAGTGGTCACCCGGGGAGGGCTGCGCGTGCGTCCCCGCTCCTGCAGGCGCTGCCCGGGCAAACAGGCCTTCCTGTGTCCCACCACGCGGGGGCCCTGCCCGCCTACCTCCCGGCTACCACCTGGGCAGGGGTCCCCGGTCCTGGCTTGCCGGGGGTCGGGCTTCATCTCCCCGCTGGGGTGTCTCTCGGTGCCATTTGTCAGGCCTACCTGAGAGCAGGCACAGGAGCGTCTGGCCTGGCCACAGGGCACCGGTACCAATGTCACCTCTCCCCGGGTGGCTGTCCCACCTCAGAAACCAGGAACTTGCTCTGGGGATAGGCGGGGAGCAACTGATTTCCTCCTGGGTCCTAAAGCGAGCTGAGTTCTTCCTGAAAGCGCCCTTGGTGGGACAGGTTTCCCCCAGCGAGAAGGGCAGGGCCGCACCTCGGCCTGGCAGGGGGCTCCCGCCGACAGTGGACCAGAGGAGTCAGGAATTCCAGCGAGATGGCAGGAGTGTGGGGCGCCTGGCCGATAGGAGGCAGGCGGAGAACTGCACTGAGGAAGGAAGCCCTGGGTTCGGCTCCCATCTCTCCTCCCGGTGACCCCGGGCTTCCCTCTAAGCAGAGCGCGTCCCAGGTTTTCCCCAGAGGCCGTGCGAGCGCATCCCTCAGACACCCCGCGCGGCTGACCGCACTCTGCTAGCGGAACGAGGTGGGCGGGGTTTACCTCCCAGGCTCGCTACCTATTTCCGCCCACACTTCCCTTTAGTCGTAACAACCACAGTGAAGCCACTTCCGGCCTCTCGGCCTTTCTCAGTACTCTTCCGGGTGATGGCGGCCAGGTGCCCCGGATGTAGCCCTGGTGAAAGCATCTTTCCTTTTCTTCCCCCGCGTCCCGCAGCTCCGCAGGTGATTGCTCGCGGCTCGGGCTGTCCAAGTCCGCGCCCTCTGATAGGTACTCATACCCCGGGACAGCTGGGGGTCAGTACGCAGAATTAGGAGTTGGGCGCGAGGAAGAGGAGGAGCAGCAGGGCGCCAGGTCCTGGTGAGCCAGGGCGCCGCGGGAGCTGCGGGTCGGGGAGCGGGCGGCCGGCTCGCCGGGCCGGGGAGCGCACCAGCTGCGGGGAGCCGGATGTGGGCGTGATCACGTGGGGAGCCAGGGTGCAGACGTCCCCGCAGAAAGTTGGAGGAGGCGTTCCTCTGCCCCGCGCCTCTGCTTCCGCCCAGCTCCGTGAACTCTTTGGGATCCTGAACCGAGTCCGGTTGGGGAGGGGGAGTGTCCTGGCTACCAGCTTCCCCTTTGGGGAGTGTGTGTATGTTGTCATTATTTCTCAAAAGGCCAAGAAAATGTCCGCGGTTGCCGGGGGGGGGGGGGGGAGGGCCCCCGTAGGTCGGCGGCCTCCCCCAGTTCCTTAGTCTGCATCCTCATTTCCTGTCCGTTTAAGGAGACCCACTCCCGCCTGTCATGCCCAAGAGGAAAGTGACCTTCCAAGGCGTGGGAGATGAGGAGGAGGAGGAAAGTGTTCCCAAGAAGAAGGTGAGGGGCGGGGGCTCTGGAGAGGAGTGGGGGCAGGGGGTGCTGAGACAGCCGAAAACTGCTTGGAGGGAGTGTTTGCAGGGTTTTCATCCTGGTAGCTGAAGTAGCCGGTGCTCTGCGTTTGTTTTCTTTTCTATTTTGTTTGTTTGTTTTTAAGATTTATTTATTACTGGAAAAGCACATTTATAGAGGAAAGACAGACAGAAAGACAGTCAGTGTATTGGTTCACTCCTCAGATGGCCACAATGGCCAGAGCTGAGCCAATCTGAAACCAAGAGCCAGGAGCTTCCTCAGGGTTTCCCATTGGGTACAGGGTCCCAGGGCTTTGGGCCGTCCTCTGCTCCTTTCCCAGGCCACAAGCAGGGAGTTGGATGGGAAGTGGAGCAGCTGGCACATGAACTGACTCCCATATGGGATGCCAGTGCTTGTGTGTAGAAGATTAGCTAATTGAGCCATCGTGCTGGGCCTGGTGATCCACATTTCTCACCCACTGCCCCCTGCCCACAGCTGGTGGATCCTGTGAGCAGGGCAGGAGGCCCCGGGAGCCGCTTCAAAGGCAAACACTCCTTGGACAGTGATGAGGAAGACGAGGAGGAAGAGGAGGGAGCCAGCAAGTATGACATCCTGGCTTCAGAGGATGTGGAAGGTGAGCTGAGCTGGAGGCAGGAGGTGGAGGCCGCTCCTGTGTTGTCACCATGTGCCGAGCCTGGGATGCCTGTGTCTTCCGTTCAGGTCAAGAAGCAGCCACGCTCCCCAGCGAGGGGGGTGTGCGCATCACACCCTTCAACCTGCAGGAAGAGATGGAGGAAGGCCACTTCGATGCTGACGGCAACTACTTCCTGAACCGGGATGCCCAGATCCGAGACAGCTGGCTGGACAACATCGATTGGGTGTGTGGCCCAGGACTGGGCACGGCTGGGGGAGGGGGTGGCAAGGGCTGGATCTGGGCAACCTGAGGCAGTTGGTCAGGGATGACCGCCTCCCTGCCTCCCATTCCAGGTGAAGATCAAGGAGCGGCCACCAGATCAGCGCCCGGCGTCCGACTCAGAGGAGGAGGCAGACAGCCTAGGCCAGACGCCCATGAGCGCCCAGGCCATCCTGGAGGGACTTGTGGAGCTGCTCCTGCCAAGAGAGACAGTGGCTGGGGCACTGAGACGCCTGGGGGCCCGAGGAGGCAGCAAGGGGAGCAGCAAGGGGCCTGGGCGGCCCAATTCTCCCCAGCGACTGGACCGGCTATCTGGCTTGGCTGACCAGATGGTGGCCCGAGGAAACCTTGGTGTATACCAGGAAACAAGGGAGCGGCTGGCCATGCGGCTGAAGGGATTGGGGAGCCAGACCCAGGGATCCCAAGCTTCCACGCCACCACCCTCGCTGGACATGTTTGCTGAGGAGGTGACAGAAGGGGAGCTGGAGACCCCGACCCCTGTCCAGAAAGGAGGTAAATATGGCGGGCCGTGGAGGGCAATGTTGACAGGAGGCAGGGTGCGGGGGCTTCAGTGGGCTTCTTGCTGCTGCCTCCACAGAGGCTGAGACTGGAGGAGACGGCCTGGTAGACGTGATGTGGGAGTACAAGTGGGAGAACACGGGCGATGCCGAGCTCTACGGGCCCTTCAGCAGTGCCCAGATGCAGGTAGGCACTCCGACCTGGCCTGCCCCACCCCGTCCCTAGCTCAGTCCTCCCCCCCAATTCTGCCCCTCTCCCTCTCTATCTCCCTGCAGACCTGGGTGAGTGAAGGCTACTTCCCAGATGGTGTCTACTGCCGGAAGCTGGATCCTCCCGGTGGGCAGTTCTACAACTCCAAACGCATTGACTTTGACCTTTATACCTGATCTGCCAAGGGCCCCGCTTGGGGACCCGTTTGCTGGACTTGGTGGAACTGGCCCCCAGCTGCCTTGGGCAGTGAGAATCTCGGAGGCCATTTTTCAGTCCGTTTCGTTCTTTTTCTTTTTTCCTTCCCGCTCGCACCCCACACCAATAAAACCCTTGAGTTGTTTTTGAGGGCCTGGGCTGTGCTGATGGGCCAGCAGCCATGTCCACTGTTGAGTGTCACTTATAGGAGCCTCTCTGACATCTGGAACCTCCTCGCCTTCGTTCTCCAGGACCTGATGGGTGTCGTGTAACATCCCCACCCCTAGGCAATACTGGCTCCCTGTGGATGTCTTCACAGGGTTCTTGGTGGGCTGTCAGGAGTGGGACTGCTGAGCCAAGATCAGGCTGTGTGCTTGAGAGCCTGAACGCCAGCAAGGTTGAACACCAGGGTCATCTCCATTCTCACTCCCGCTGGCCTTTGCGGCAGTTCCCTTGGATGAAGTGCAAGCTTAGTGATGACACTTGCCAAGCCCCTTGAGGATTCCTGGACCAGCCCTGGTGTTACATGGGTACGGATGGGCAGTGATGCACTAGAGGGTACACTGGCACAGAGCTGGCCCAGTCCCAGTGAGTGTTTCTTCCAGACCTCGTCTTGGAGGTGCAGCGGCTTCCTCTACTGTCCGTGACCAGGGGCGGGTGCCCAAGATGCTCAGAGGACCTGGCTCAGGGCCTTCTGGAATTGTGGGCCAGGCCGAGGGAGACCTTGAGGATGAGGGGGATTGTGGCATGTCACCCTGACCTCTCCTGGCCTTCCATGCTCTGGCTGCCTGCTGGGCCCTGTTGGGGCTCTGCCATGCCTTGGGCCACTTCCATGCTTCCATAATTGGCAGACAGACAGAGCCATGGGGTTTGGTTGCCGTGGTCCAGGCAGATCCAGGGAGCAGGCCTGATTCCTAGACCCTTCTGGTGGAGTAGGGTTGAGCGTGTGCAGGGTCCTTTAGCTACTGATCAGCTGAGGGTCAGAGCCAGGGGACATGGGAATACAGACTGGCTGGACACGAGGAGACAGGAACCCTGCGCGTGTTTGACCTTCTAGTAAGCGTCTCCACCCCAATTGATAAATCAAATTGAAATATAAGTTTATTTCGATCCAAAAAAGTTTGAAATCCATGCATCTGATAGACTCTTTGAAGTTCATGGAAAGTGTTGGGAAGAAACTGCATGGATTCCCATGATGCTCAAAGCACTTAGTTATGGGCCCAGCACGATGGCCCAACGGCTAAAGTTCTTGCCTTGAATGCTCCAGGATCCCATATCGGCACTGGTTCTAATCCCGCAGCCCCACTTCCCATCCAGCTCCCTGCTTGTGGCGTGGGAAAGCATTTGAGGATGGCCCAAATTCTTGGGCTCCTGTACCCACGTGGGAGACCCAGAAGAGGCTCCTGGCTCCTGCTTCAGATAGCTCAGCTCCAGGCATTGCAGCCATTTGGGCAGTGAACTAGCAGATGGAATATTTTTCTCTGTAATCTGCCTTTTGCATGGGTGCAGGGTCCCAAGGCCTTGGGTGGTCCTTGACTGCTTTCCCAGGCCTTAAGCAGGGAGCTGGATGGGAAGTGGAGCCACTAGGATTAGAACTTATGTTCACATGGGATCCTGGCATGTGCAAGACGTTAGCCGCTAGGCTACTGTGCCAGGCTCAAAATAAGTAAATCTTTAAAAAAAATGGATATGGAGTATAATTGATGTGTACTATATTTGGGTAAGTTTTGTATCTACTAGAACAGTTTTTTGTTTTTGTTTTTGTTTTTTTTTTTTTTTAGAATTACAGAAAACTTCCACAAATAGTTTTGTATTAAAGAGAGAGTGCTCACTCACCCCGGTTTACTCTCCAGATGCCCACAACAGCCAGGCCTGGGCTGCAGCTGAGTCGGGAATTCTGTGCAGCTGGCCCAGGTTGGGGGCAGGAACGTCATTCCCTTGAGCTGCCACCATGACTTCCCAGGGAAGGAAGCTGGGGCTAGGGTTGAGCCCAAGTTTCTTCACTGGGAGGCCATACTCCTACCCTCCTCGTTTCCATTTCTTGAACAGATCTCAAGGTATGATCCATACACCCTGGTGGTTTTTGTTGAAGTGTGAACTGGCATGGTGGCATAGCATGCTAAACCTCCACCTGTGGTGTCAGCATCCCATGGGTGTTGCCTCAGTTCCCATCTTTT